TTCAGATTTTGACTTTGCTTTTGTTTTTATTGTTTTCTAATGTCACATGCTTGAGTTATATGAGTTTAACTTTAATTTGTTTGACTTATTTTCTTGAACACAAAGAAGGCTTTTTTTTTTTTATTCTTGTCACAGCCTTACTATGTAATTTTGTTGTTAGCTGTCTGTCATGCAGCATTTCTTCCACTTGTACTTGGTTTTTATGTTTATTTTTATTTAGTCTTTAGTGCTGGGCTTGAATAACGTAAACACTCAACATAATTTTATAAATACTGTTTTTATGGGCCATTTTTTAAATCATGTTATGTATATATTTATTGTGTCTATGTTATGTTTCCTGTCTGGTAAGAGCACTTACATCACTGCAACCAAATCGATCAAATGGTATAGATATTATTGATTGATTGATTGATTGACATAAGCATGAGACTTGACATAACCAGTACTTTTTGCACTGGTTTTGCCATGACAAGAGGTATTCTTATATCCTTCTCTGTATTAAAAATGATAAGCATGCTGTAAATATAACAGAAAGACAAAATAAAAATGTCCAGGTTTGCTGGAATGCACTTTGTCAAGATGAAATGTTTGTAAAACTCCCTAAAATTGTGTGCACTTAGAGTAAAGATTCACTTTGGTGTTGCCAGATAGCATCAGTGGCAGCCATTAATCACCTCCCTCTCCTGTAGCTTCACTCTCTTTCTTCTGGCTCACCAAACTTCTGCACATCATATTGTCTGATTGCAGATTGTGGGTGTAGTTGATTGTGGATCTTGAGAATTGATTAAATGTTTCATTTGATCGTAGGGTTTCTGAATAAGATAGATGACCCTGACAGAAACAATAGAATAGGGCAAACTGATCTCCATGACGAGCATGCTCTGTCTGTTTGCAACTGCAGAGACCCGTCTGGTGTGTGTGTGAGCCATCAAATTAGGAGGGAATGTGATGTTTTTGTATGCTCTCTTTGAACTCTGCAGATAAACCTCCAGAGGAGAATGAGGGTTACAGGGCTGATTACCCAAGGTGCCAAACGTATCGGCAGCCCAGAGTATGTCAAGTCATACAAAGTAGCCTACAGCGATGACGGGAAGACCTGGAGAACATACAAAGTCAAGGGCAAAGATGAGGATATGGTGAGTCTCGTGTACCTTTGCCAATTCTAATTCTGTGACACATTGATGAAGATACATACTCATATACATGTTCACCCAGAGAACAGAGACTATATTATTGAAGGGCAAGGTGGAGGACATGATGAGATGGATTTCTAATTAGCTTGCACACAGGGTCCATCCCGCTCCCCGTTTTCCTTACCCCCTTCCAGGAGTTTTAGATTCAATTTATATGCTATTTGGGGATGAACACATGCAGCATTCTGTCATTCTTGACAGAAATATGTGATTGCTGTCATCTTATTTAATTTATAAGATGTGCCTTTGTTAAACTGTCCTTGAGTTTCTTATAATTAAATCTGTTTTTGCATTTATCCAAAGTTAAGAAGAAAATACAATTCTGTACTGACTTTTTTGTTTTCCACAAGACGTATTGGTATCATATTATACTCAGTTAGTAATTCTGAAGAAAGTCTAGAAAAATTACTGGGGCTCTAATTTAAAACACATTGCTGTTTTTATGAACGATCAGGTTCAAATGATGCAGGAAATTGTTAATTTTTTTCAGTAATTCTCGCTCGTTGACCTGGTATGACAGCAATTTGTCCACTGTGTGGTAAACACTACAGAGTGCAGTAGATTGATTGTCACATTATAGCAAAGTGATCTGTTTCACCGTTCTCTCTGCCCTCATCTGTGGGTGTTTCATCCTGTTCGACAGATTTTCAGGGGAAATGTTGACAACAACGCTCCATCAGCCAACTCTTTTACCCCTCCCATAGAAGCCCAATTTGTGCGCGTTTACCCCCAAGTTTGCAGGAGGCATTGTACCTTGCGCATGGAGCTGCTTGGCTGCGAGCTGACAGGTATTTGGTCTTTATTATCCTGATAAATGTTTTATCTTCTGGATGCACTGATCAGAATCTCTTGTTTTTTGTAAAATTGGCCTGTCAATGTTATTTTCATTTGACTCAGATAACTGCTTTTTCTTTAATTATTCATGACAAACTGCGTCTGCAAAATAGTAGTTGCTGTAAAATGGTGTTAATAACTTTGTTACATAATGACAAAGTACGGTACCTTTTTTAAGTCTCTAGTGATCAGTGCTGACAAGTCTGAAAATGTTGACATTCTGGTCAAAGCCCCGTTTATTTTCACATCCCTTCCTTCATTTGTAAATTTACATCATGTAAAGTTTGGAACAAACGTGTCTCTTTTTTGTTCTTTTAAGGCTGTTCTGAACCACTGGGGATGAAGTCAGGCCATGTCCAGGATTATCAGGTCACGGCTTCCAGCATTTTCCGAACACTCAACATGGACATGTTCACTTGGGAACCTGGAAAAGCCCGTTTGGACAAACAGGGCAAGGTCAATGCCTGGACAGCTGGACACAGTGACCAGTCACAGTGGCTACAGGTAAAATTTAATCTGATTTTAATCTCCTATTTCCACAGAAGAATCATTATACTGGTTTGGAAATGAACACCCTGCAGAAAGCTGATATAATATCTTATGCAAATGAATTTAGCTATACTTTTTTCAGAAAAATATACAGCTAAAGGATGCATTCGTAGCTTAGACTAAAGACTAAAGTCCAGGGCAAAGATGAGGAGAAGGGGAAAGACCTAGAAATATGTCCTCCTATCTGTTTATTTATATGTAAACTTTTTTCAGCCTAACACCCTATCTGCCTCTGTTATTTATCTCTGGCCATAATCCAGGTTTTCAGTCTGGATTGCAATTTAATCCTATTTGTTTTCATTTTATTACATGTTTCTTGAAAAGGATAACACACAACCCTAAATTAATGCTTTCTTCTGGATTTTTTTCCCCAACAATATGTGAACTTGAGGCTGAGAGAGTTCAGGATACATATTAACTTGGAGTACATCATTCCTAAAATCCCCTCACGTATAGCCTTATGTATTGGAGTTTTTCCCGATAAAAGGTTGATTTTCTTTAAGGGTGAGAAACCGGATCTCACTCCAAGCTGTAAAGTTAATGCCATAGAAGAGGGTGTCTTGTTAGGAATTAAAGATCAGAGTGAGATCAAGCCTTTACTCAGCTTGTTTGTGGCCATGCCAATATGCATACAAGACCTTAAAAATGTTCCCTATTTCTCACTTCACAAAATTAGTAAATAGGGTTGAGTTGTATGCAATTTCATCTCCCTATAAATCCAGCTGTTTGGTGCAGGTTTCACACATTAGCTCAATAACATTAATGAAAAAACAGGACCATGTAAGCTAAGAAACACATAAGGCAGGTTTGGAATAAAGAGAAAACTGGTGTTATCATGCTGTAGGGGATATTTTTCTCCAGTGGAGAAGAGAAGTGGGAGTTGGTGGAGATGTGAAAAGATCTAAATACATTTCAATTGAGGATGAAAACCTGTTAGAGACTACAAAAGACTTCACAGCAACCCTAACAGTTTAGTTTGGAGGATATCTGTGCATTAGAATAGTCAAGCCAAAGTCCAGGCATAAATCCAGTTGATAATCCGTCGCAAGTGTTGGAAACTGATTATCACAGATGCCCTCCATCTAGTGTGAGTTAGCTTGAGCTATTTTATAAAGAAGAATGAGCAAAACATTGCTGTCTTTACATGTGCTAATGCGGAAGAGATACACCCCAGGTAAAAATATAAAATCACTTTTTACCATGGAATAAAAGTGATTTACCAAAAGTGATTTTACATGACATTGACTCACAGGGCCTTCATTGAACTGCAGGTCAAACTTTCCAGATTTTTATTTCACTACATGCATAAGTACTATTTAGCATTTTTCTGTAATATGAACTTGCAATTTAAAACAGCAAAGACTGTGGCTGTAACGTGACAAAATGTGGAAAAAGTTCAAGAGACACCAATATTAGTGAAGCGCGTCCACACCTGTGCCGCTCTTCACATTCTGCTGTCATAATGATTTGCCAGATATAATTGGATTTGGTTCATTCAGACATTTTGTTGTAATTATTACCATGCTTAAAGCTCCTATCAGGGGATGATGACATGCAGGGATGTATGCTCAGGGAGAAAGGCACTCAGAGAGGCCCAATCTATGCCATGGATCTTGGCTGAGCAAAATTGATTGCTGTAGGTAAAAGGAAAACTTGCGGTCTCATATTACATGCTGTGCTGGCGGGAAAGAGGAGATGCTACACAGATGCTGTGAGAAAATCAATGGCTTCCATTTCCAAAGACTGTGTCTTTGCACACAGGCATATATGATGTCTGGGCTCTCAAAAGCAAACGTAGCTGGTCATATATCACAGAGTGCCGTTTCACTTTTACAGTGATGCAACTGTTTCAGTTGAGTGGTTTGTGCATCTAAATATCATCTTGTGTGTTTGTTACATTGAATGTTGGGTGTCTACTTTTAACTGGTTGCCATGGCAGATAATTAATACTCAGCACTGGCACTAAATGACTTAAAGTGTCACAGACTAATGGAATTAATCAGCCTTAATGATGAAATAAGTATTGCTATTAATCAGGAAAGTTGTTCCATTATGGAGTGGAAACAGGAGGAATGTTTTTTGCGAACACTAAAAGATATAATTTAAGTTCAATGATGGATGAAACTGGTTGAAAGTCCCTGCAAACAGGGAAAGTGAGTCGTATATCTAAACCTCTGCCAAGAAGGCCATTTGTCTTCAACGATCGGTCTGATTGAGAAGCTTACATCTGATCGCGTAATACATCTGAACTGCTTTGCCTGTGTAGGTCAAAACAAAAACTGAGTCCAGGATGTTTTGGGTATCATCCAAGCTAACATTTTCATGACACGGCTGGAGATGAAATTACCCAGAGGGGAAACTCAAAACAGAATCTTTGAAGATGTTTTCGAGAGTCGACTGAGTCTGTGAAACTTAGCTGCCAAATGCTCCATCTGCCAGAAACTGATTACCTAATTATGAGCCTTAAGATGTCCGCACAGCAAAGAGAAATTTGCTGGACACATCAGATCGTTGCATGTTTCACATTTTCCCTCTGCTAACACAACTATACAGCATTTTTTTTTTTGCTTGCGAAGTTTTGTGTTGAATCTCAGATCTCGCATAAAGAAGAACATCAATTGGAGTAGAGCGACGCGCTTCCATTTTTCACATCTTTATAAAAGAGCCAAGTTTTTAAAAGACGGAGGCTTTAAATTGATGCAGGCACTTATTGTGATATTTTGAAAGGAATTCTGAAATATCCACTTAACACTTACTATGTTTCCTCTTATGTTTTCTCATGGATGTTATGCTATTTATTAACTATTTTCACATTGGCAGAGATGCTCTGATCCAGTTTGTTTTGGTTCTTATTTTACTCCAGTTTGTGACTTTATTCATGTTAAAAACTAAACGTGAATCAATAAAAAAGAAAGAAAGAAAAGCTGTGACAGAAGCTGTGATGTCAGTCGCTGAGGTGAAGGAACTGTTCCTTTGTTCTGTTCCTAAAAGGCTTTTTCTTTAACATTTAATGCTGCTGATAGTCATGGTATTGTTTACGTTAATACAAATAATACTTTTCTGCTGGAATTTGTGCCTCTGTGTCTAGTTGTATTAGCAAGATTAACATTTACATCACATCAGATTGATCATAATATATCACGTTCCTTTTATCTGCAAAGCTGCACATAATGAACAAAGGGTTGTTGAAAGGCAGGAGGTGAGGGCATTTATGGACCACACAACTTAAAAACAGTCTTCAAAACAGTTTTGAAGAAGAAAGGAAGAAAACAAAATAATCATTTTTTTAAGTCCAGTAGCTAGTGACTCTGCTGAAAAGCTTTAGTGTTTTCTCTTCAGTTATCATCACAGTAAAAACAACCAACATATGACCAGCAAACAAATCAACGATGTCTGAAATGGGGAACGGTTTGGTGGATTTAGCCCAATATGTAGTCCAAGGTTTTGATTCTCTTTTGGGTTCCTGTCTAATGATTTGATAAAGTTCAAAGTTACAGTAGGTCTTGCAGTTTCCCTCTGCCAGCTGTTCCTCTTCCTTCCCTCCACTCTGCACAGATTACATGCAGATCCCTGTCTGCAGGCATAGCTCAGCATGAGCTTTCAGTTTTAATGGTTACCTCTAAAGCAGGGTGGAGGGGGATGCTCTTTTCAATAATAGGTCTTGAGAATGATAGGAGCACACAGAAAAGTGTGTAACACCTGTGGCAGTTCTAAACAAGTGAACCTACCTGCTTCTTGTGACTCACTTGCACACGGTTGACAGCTGATCCAAACAACACAGCAACAGTATCTAGAAAAACAAACATAAAAAAAACCCGCTGAGTGATGAGTGCTCATCTCATGTTGGGTTAGGTTAAAAAGAGAGTTGTTCATTTGATAAATCCCAGAAAATATGATCATCTTTCACGGACTCCTTAGTCCACAACAGTGCAGCGTCGCATATTAACTGGAATGTAAATCGTTTTGTAGGCATGACCTTGTGAAAAACACTGCCAGAACAAACTGCATCACATCATTTCCAACCTGTCAAAATTATTTACAGCTTGCGAAGGTTACAAAACAAGACTTGATTATAATTTCCTGCTGGTGGTCCATTAGTTATCCCTTGCCTCAGAAGTTTTCACAGCCACTTATCTCCCTAAAGTGATAAATATGTGTTTTGCGTGTCTGTGGCACCCGGATAATCCCCTCATGCTTCCAATGACGACAACAGAGTTTGTGTGAAATTATTGACTGTAACTGTGTACGGCCTGCATACAGACGGTAGATTTATAACAAAATAGTAATTTCCAAGTAAACATTAAAGCAAATCAGGTCGCGCGCAGCCTTTTGTTATAATTTAGCTAAACTCCTGCATTATATTGTTTGTTTGTAGATAAAGGATGTGCAGAATGTTCCTGAAAGGTTATTTGTTTTAACCACATGTCGCGTTTACAGACAGTTTTGCTTCTGTCACAGACGTCTCTCGACACAGAGACCATATTCTCAACGTGACATGTAAATTTTGAATTTCCTTTGTTTCAATAAATTAGTATTTTTGAAAGATTTTTGCAAATATTCCTGTGCTGTTAATCTGTGAGATCTGCAAGAAATTAAGATGATCTCAGAAATGTGTGCAAACGTCAAGCAATATTTGCAGAATAGACATGATTAGAGAATTACAAGCATGGAAGATTTCTCAGGAAGATGCTGGAAGAAAGAAAACGGCGGTTTACCAGGTAAAATGCACATTGGGATCAAAGGGATTCTCTGCAGGCACATAGAGGACCGAGAAGAAAGCACAGCGGGGGATTAAAAACAGCGACAGGGAAGCAAAGGGAAGAGACATGACTAAAGTGACCCATCTTTGCGATTTCAGGGAATTGTTCCACAGCCTCTTGGTCGAACCACCAAACACTAATTCATTTACATAGATTTTACCATATACAGAGTAGAAGTTCATTAGTTTCTTCCCA